GCATCATATTCCCTACATGAATAATTCATATACTGAAGATGAGTAATGGTTATGGATATCTAACTGTAATGAGTATCGGCTCCATGGGCAGGCAGAGTGGCGGCAGAGTTACTCAGTGCTAGTTGCGTTCTAGCCTTCGAGATGCTGCTGCAGCTGAAGCGATCCATGGCTCGGGTCCTTGTTCGCTTCACCCGGGGAGCAGGGCAGGCGGGGGTCAGCTGACTGGACTAGAAACACTTTGCAGGTCACTGGCTCCACCTGCACTTCACACCATGCGGGGAAATCCACCGGCCGATGCACTCTGGGCAGTAATTAAGAGGAAAGTAAAGCGTGTCAAACCTTCTTTTCCTTGCACTTCTCACTTCACGCTTTAAAATGTAAACTTTTTCAGAATCAGAATCTCATTTTTATTGTTATTTTTGCCAAAAGCACAACGATATTATATGCGGTCCCATTCAGTACAAAGAAAGCAATCTAAGTACTCATAAAATACAAAAATAAAGAGTCTTTCTAACAAATAAAGTATAGAGTAAAAATAGAATCTAAAAACATAGATATGCACATATCTATATCATCCATATCATATGTATGTACATATCTATGATATGTACATACATATGTGTGTTTGGGTCAGAGATTGCACAGGTTAGTGACATTCTTGCTACAGCCTTGGGATATTTTTTGGGTACCCACAAAAAACTCAAAACACTTTGTCAAATCTGAATATTTTTATGTGCCCAAATGAAAATGTAATTTTTTTTTATTGGAAAAAAAAAACAGAGAAGCTTATAAAAGTTGTGATAAAATGTAATTAGAAACACTAAATATTACCATATTTGGCTTCTAAAGCATTACCTAAAATATTTAAAAGTATCTGCAAAGTAAGGCGCAGCCACCTGTGATTTACAATAGTAACACTAGAATAATATCAGTAAAAAAAAAACCTCACAGACAAGATTCCTGCAGACTAACAACATTTGTGGCCACTTTCTTTATTCTTAAGCAAAACATCTGGTGAAACTACTGTTCCACCATGAAAACAAAGTCAATCAGTCTCTTTAAACCATGAGGTTTAGAAACTGTTGGCATCTGGACACCAAATCACACCGTCTGTTTGTGTACTCACGTCTCACAGCAACCGACCCCAACAGGGTGCAGACAGGTGCATTGCATGCAAGCGTTGTCCATCCAGGTTTCACCCAGTGAGTAGTGCCTCCCCTCGTACACACACAGAGCTGGACGAACACATGGTGGGGGGAAGAGCTCAAAATAATACATTTTTTATAAAGTGATGCGTTTTTTTAAAGGTAAATGTTTAGGGTTTTTTTTAAAAAGGGTTATAAAGAATTGGATCTCACCTCTGGAGCTGAAGTGGCACTCCATGGGTGCAGCAGAGCCACCGCTGGTCCACAGAAGAAACCCTACGGCTCCAAGCAACAAGTGAACCCTGGAGAGCTCCATCTTTATCATGTCTGGTCAGCTTGTGATTCCTCTTCTCCTTTTCTTCCCTCATTTATATGCTTTGAGGGTTCATGACCATGGCGTGGAGGTGTGGCTTGCACCGTCATGTGGCCCACAGACTTGGCTGTGGAGAGTGTCAGCGGTGACATCCGTTGGGAATGAGGAGCTGGAGGTGTTGTGTAGAGGGGAGGGTAAAGTTGTGTCTTGGCACGCTTTTGGCACTCTGGAGATCTCCTCGATGCGCTTCAGCAGGCATGAACCTCCGAAGTGTTAGAAACAATGACACATCCACACGGTGACTAAGAGAGGGAAGGGTAGCAGAGAGGTGAGATGGAGGGCAGGGAGAGAGAAAGAGAGGTTACGTCCAAGGAGAGAAGGAGGTGGAGAGAGAGGGCAATGGAAATGTAAAACATGATTCATCATCATTCAGCCTCCCTCTTGGTTTTTGTGAGGATCACCGCACAGCCCCAGAAAATGTGCCGAATGCACAGACACTGAAATATAAATTTAAAATATATAATCATGATTCTGCGAGGTGCTTTCAGCTCTGGCAGCTACATATGTCCATAGTGTCCATATGCCACAACTGTGTGTCGTTAAATGCGGTCTTCTCTCTCCATGGTTGTTCTGCTTTTGAATGGTTCTTCCTGTTATAAGGCAGTTTTTCCTTCCCACTTTCACCAAACTGTTTGCTTCTCAGGAATTCTTTGATTCTTGGGGTTTTCTCTCTCATGTGGTGAGGTGTTTACACTCCAATCTAAAAAGCACTTTCAGACGACTGTTTTGTGAACTGCTACCATATAAATGAAATTCAATACTACTGAAAGGAGTCTAAATGTAATTAAATTAAAAGGGAAGGAATGAATTGGCAGATGTGGGAACAACATATGTGAATGTAGATCAAGGGCTTTTGTAGATTTAGATTTCTTTTAACCTGATCTAAACACTTACATGGGATTTTGGATGATAACATATTTCCAGCTCTATGAAGGAAGTATGTTTGGGGAGTGTTTAAAAATCAAAAGACTCTGAGAGACCAGGAGTTTAATGAGCCTAAGGCATAATTCCAGCTTCAGTATCAATAAATGATGGATACTGAAAGCTAAATGAGAAAGACGTACACATTTCTTTTGGAGGGATTTTTTTTATTGGGTTTAGTTGATATTTTGGGAGAATTAATTAAGTAACAGTTTGTGGAAAGTGGAGGGACAGTATGAGACTGGCCATCCTAACTGTATCATAATGAAAACCTTAGTTACAGCTGCTTACAATTTCTAATTATTTGTCATTTAAACCTAAATTCTGTGTTGCAGAGTTTATTAAAAGAGTGTGTGTTAATGTAGATGTTGGCTGTTTTCACTTTTTCCTGATTGCTTCCTTAGCAGGATGTGGAGCATCATAGGGAACAGAGCTCAGTCACCTTGATTAAGAACCCCCCCAAGGGGAAACGGGTAATGATGATGATGGATTTTATTATTTCAGCCTCCTGCTCTTTTGCACAAACCTCAATCTACCACTGACCAAGCTGACGCTAACATCAAGTTTGTTTCAAATTCTTTTATATACATGGCATGTAAATCAGTTTATAACTTTTATGGAGTGTGTCTCTTCTGGAATTTTTGTTGATATTACGTCTCTCTCCAGTAAAATGAAACTACCATAAAAATATGAAACTGTTCAGCAGGGGATCAAATAATTATTTCCCCACTGTAACTAACCTAACATTTAAGAAAAAGATTTGACTGAAAAAAAGGTC